TATCACAGTCATGTGCCAAGCTGGCAGAGACCGAAGACGGCTCGTTGCTGCGGGTAGACATCACCTCGCTGCTCCCGTGCGAGCAGGTGGTCGAGGACGTGCGCGTCTGCCTGGTGACAGGCGGCAGCGAGACGCTGTGGTACACTTCGTCCAAAATCGAGCTCGCGCCCGGCACGACGAGCGTCGAACTGTTCTGTCCGCACCCGGTCCACGGGGTCTACACGGTCGACGTGACGCAGATTCGCATGGCGCGGCTCATCTTCCAGTACGAGCATGGGTCCGCCGCTGCTGGCGCGCAGCCAGTTATCGTGCGCGTGCCCAAGGATGGCGCTGCACCGAGCGTGGTCGCTGGTCTTCCGCATCAGATCGACTTGGACCAGCCACGGGCGATCGAGGTGACGGTGCGCGCCGGGCGGAATGACATTGACCTCGCCGAGTTCAGCGTTAGCTCTGTCGATGGGGCTGCGCTGGTCGACTGCAGTGCGGCGAAGCTCAGCAGCGATGCGAAGACGGATGCGGCGACGCGCATCGAGCAGGGCTCAGCGGCGTCGGTCACGCTCAAGCAGCTGAAGAAAGGCGGAGAAGCAGTGGTCGTGCTGCCACTATCTCAATTGCCTGAATCAGGACTCCTCGACGCCATCATCCTTCTATCCTACACGACAACCTCGTCGTCTCCAAGCGTACCGCAGCGCCACCCCACCGGCAAGAAACGCACGCTCAAAGTGCGCGTGCAGCTCAAAACCGCGCTACCACTCGGCGTCAATGTGCAGGACTTCTTCCGCACCTCGTGTCTCCTCTCCAAATTCACCATCTCCGCGGGTGGCGGCGGCAGCATCCGCCTCCAGCCCGTCAGCATGGTGCACGACAACGCCGAGCACGCGCAAGCATACACGATCGCCTCGTACGCCTCGCAGCGCGAAGCAACCGTGACACCGCGGCAACCGGCGACGTATGTGTTCCGCCTTTCGCGCACCGATGCGGCTTCGCGCGCCGATACGCGCCTGCGGCTCGTGGTGCAGTACCGCGCACTGCAGGAGGACGCGGTGTCTGCGGCGGTGCGCGCGCTGGATGCCGTGGTGCAGCAAAGGGAGGTGCAGGGGTTGGAGAGCGGGGCGGCGGGGAGGAGGTTGGTGCAGGAGGCGCTGGTGGCGTATGTGCGCGAGCGGCTGGATCTGCCTGCGTTTTCGATCACGGGGCAGGCGAAGACGGGCGGGCTGGATCGCGGGTGGTGGCGCACGGAGCGGCGCGCGTGGGGGCAGGGGGCGTTGGAGCTGGATGCGCTGTTGGAGGTAGTGCAGGCTGCGCTGGATGCTATTGTGTCTGGTGTTGTAGGGGCGGAGGAGGACGAGGTGTGGCAGAAGCTGACGATCCCCGTCGACGTGCCGAGCATCGACTACGTCAATGCGGTAACGCTCAGCCTCCCCACCACCACCGCAATAGACACCGAACCCGCATCCCTCATCGTCGGCCAGCCCGTCGAGCTCACTGTCCGCATCCACACATCCACGCTCTGGTCCTCGTCCCCACACCATGAAGCGATGGTGTACGACATCGCACCGGACTTCGACACGTGGCTCGTCGACGGCACCAAGCGCGGCAGCTTCGCCTTCCAGCCCGACGCGGCGACCCACACGTTTACGGTCACACTCGTGCCGCTGCGCACGGGCACCGTCGCGCTGCCGTCGGTCCACGTGCGTCCGCTGTCGACGGTTAGCGGTGCAGGGGAGAGGGGGGGCAAGGCGACGTGCGAGACGTACACGACGAATGCGGCGCAGCGCGTGACGGTGGTGCCGGCGCGCTCGGTGCAGGCGTTCTTTGTGCCCGCGGCTCGGCTGGGCGAGAGGGAGAGCTGGAAGAGCGCAGCTGCGTGGCACGCTCAGTCGCTGCACGCGGGATAGAGCGCTCGCATTTCCAGATTCACTGCTGTTGATCGGAACGCGTACTCGGGTCTGCATTCCATTGTGTGCGCGTGTGTGAACCTACCAGAACCCATCGTCGTCATCGCCCCCGCCGCCGCTCTTGCTCTTGGAGCTGTTGACCACCTGCGAGCGGTACATGGCCTCGATCTGTTCCGGGCTCGTGCTCTCCTCGGCGGTCTTATCGTCCCTGACCCTGATGAACCGTGGAAATCTCAAACTGACGCCCCTCTGCTCGATCAAGCCCTTCGCCGCCGTATACACGGGACTCAAGCTCAAGTCAGCCGTCAAGACCTCCCACACGACCCTCGCTTCAAAGTACACGTCCGGCTTGGCGTCGCCGACATCGTAGTAGCCCTTCTTGCCGCTGATTTCCAGCTCTTTGAGGGTTTTATAGTGTGCTTCCAGGTCGAGCTCCGTGAAGCCGGTGCCGATCTTGCAGATGGTCTGGAACGTCTCGGAGTCGGCGTTGTAGCACGCGAGCAGGAAGGCGCCGTACACGTTGGTGCGCTTGCCCTTGCCGTAGTAGCCGCCGATGACGACGAGGTCGAGCGAGTCGCCCGTGCCCGCGAGGTAGTCCTTCTTCAGTTTGAGCCAGTTCATCGAGCGGCGCGAGGGCTCGTAGGTCGAATCGGGCCCAGAGAGCATCTTGACCATGAGGCCCTCGCAGCCTTCCTTGACCGACTTGTCGAGGAACACGGAGATCTGCTCGACGGATGTGCAGTCTTCGGAGCGCGCGTAGTCGAACTCGTCGTCGACGGGGTGGAAGTGCTGCTGCAGCAGCGCACGGCGTTCGGCGAGCGGGAGAGAGAGGAGGGGCTCGCCGTTGAGGTACAGCAGGTCGAAGCCGAACAGCTTGACCTTGATCTTGATGTCCGAAGCCTTGACGTCCTTGCGCTTGCGGCGCGACAGCTCCTGGAACGGCAGCAGCTTGGCCGGCTCCATCGCGCCCGTTTCGGCGTTCAGCTCGGCCTTCTTCCACGCGGCCGCCTCGGCATCGAGCACAAACGACTTGACCGACGCGTCGATGCAGCGCGGGATCTGCTCGACCAGGTCCGGATACTTGACCGACATGTTTTCCGAGTTGCGCGAGAACACGGCGAGCGTGCCGTCCGCCAGCAGATGCACCTGCGCGCGCTCGCCGTCGTACTTGTACTCGCACGTGAACGGCTTGCCCTCGAAGCGGTCGAGCACCTCGGAGATCGCCTTGGTCGGCTTGGCCAGCATCGGCTTGAGCGGCACTCCGGGTGTCAGCTTGCACTCGTCGCGCAGGCCCTCAACGCCGCCCTTGAGCAGTGCCGGGATCACGAGGTCGTACGAGGGCAGTTCGGAGTAGACGGCCTTGACGAGCTCGGTGCCGTCCTCGAGCTGCTTTGCGAGCGATTCCTGGGAGAGCTGGGCGAGCTGGGCGCCGAGACGCGAGATGACGACGGCACGCGCGAGCGCGACGAGCACGGAGCGTTCGGCGAGGCCGATGCGCAGCTTGCCCTCGAGCGAGCGGATGAGGAACTTGGGCTCGTCGCCCTGGCACGCCGCGAGCAGCTTCTTGATCATGCCGATCTTGCGGTCCTGCGACTTGTTGCCGCTCACCACCGCGATCTCCTTGAGCTGCTTAAACACCTGCGGCACCTTGAGGCTCGACACCTTGAACATGGTCGGCTGGTTCTTTTTCGAGTTGAGCGCCACGAGCCCGAGATCGCCCTGCGCCTCGAGGTCCTTTTTGATGCGCGCGACTTCGCGCCCGGTGGACTGGGCGATGGCCTTGATGAGCAGCGACTCGCCGATGCCGAGCTCGAGCCCCTCGTAGTCCGGACACAGCCGGTTGATGCAGAGGTAGACGACGTGCAGCAGGTTGTCGGGCGAGCGCTTGATGACGCGCACGAGGAACTGCGTGAGGATCTCGGTGATTTCGAGGCGCTTGGTGGTGGCCTGGATGTCGGCGAACGTGGAGGCGAGTGCGGCGTAGGGCACCGGCTCGCCTTGCTTCCATGGGACTTTGCCCTCTTTCACCTCGGACGGCTTTTGGAAGAGCGCCGCGAGCTTCTTGGCGCCCTTTTGCTCTTCTTGTTCGATAGCGCGTTCCTCTTCTTCTTCGGCATCGTCTTCTTCGTCGTCGTCGGCGGGGATGTGCTCGCTGCCAGAGTCGGAGTCCGTGTCCGTTGCCTCGTGCTTCGGCTGGACCTTGTTGGCGGCTAGAGAGGTCTTAGGTGGTGGCTTGGCAAAGAGGGATGCGACTTTGGTGGTGGTGGTGGTGGTGGTCGGCGCAGCAGCGGGTGTTGGCGCTTCAAGCAGAACGGGCTCATCGTCGTCCTCGTCGTCGGATTCGACGATGCGACGCTTCTTTCTCTGCGGAGCAGCCGTGTTGGCCGATGCGTTGTTCTCGGTGCCGTTGCCGTTGCTGGCAGCAGCTTCTCGCTTCGATGACGATGACGACGATGAGGACATCGGAGCAGCCGGCTCAGCGTCGATTGGTGCGGAGGATCCGTTTTTCGAACATGGCTTCGGCGGTTTCGGTGCAAAAGCCGACTTGATGTCTTGCTGACGAGACTTTGGTGGAGCGGCGGCGCTTCCGTTGCTGCTCGAACTGCCGCCAAAGAACTTGGCCAGCTTCGGCTGTTCCGTCATCGTGGTCGATCGTGGCGTGGGAATGCAAAGAGCGGGTGATGATGGTGGTGACAGCTGCGGAACCGCCGTTGCTGCTGTTGTAAGCACCCTGTGCTGAGCAGCGAGCTGAGCTTGAGCTCACTGACCCTTCTCGCGTGCAACACACACTCAACTCGAACTCGGCGCGCGTGCACGAATTTTCTCAGAGCAAGGCGCGTCCGTCCATTTACGCCATGTGAAGTGCAACCAACAGCTTGACGCGCTCTTTTTGGTTGCCTCGCAAAAACTCCACCTCCAGGCAGGCCAAGGAGCCAGCCAACGAGCCGTTGCAAGGGCATGGAACCACTCATTGGGGGGGCACCTCGAGCCTGTTCTTTCTACGTTGATGCATCATGGCTCAAGAATGATACGTCGCTGCTCATTGTCCGCCATCTCGCTGTATCCGACAATGCCAAAAAAAACTAGGCTGCAAAGAAGAAACGACACCAACAGGATTTGAACCTGTGCTCCCAGAGGGAATAGCATATTCTCTGTCGAGTGGGGAAGATGCTTTCCCCTCGAACTGAGATTTAAAGTTCGAGTGCCACGCGATAACCACTCCGCCATAGTGCCATTTGATGTCTAACCGAGCAGCGTTCACACATTATGACCAGAAACAGCGTCCCTTCACGCTCGAAAGCCAAGGTGAGTCTCGCGCGGTGGGGCATCCCATCGGTCCGTGCCAGAAATGACCGACTCGCTTCATCTCTTCATCTGTGGACACATTTCTTCTCGCTCGTCCGACTGCCGAGAGCCGTGAGAACGATCTTCACTTGGGCTTGCTGCTTTCACTCACACCTATGAAAGGGGGCTTGACAAGTTCGACTTGTTTCGTTGGACAGAATGTGTGCGCCCGCCATTTTCACAGTGGGGAACAATGCGGACCAGAGAGATCCTTACAAGAGGCGTGAGAACACTAGATACCTGATGAAAGAGAGAGAGAGAGAGAGAAGCCAAGAGAAGCCACCAGATGAAGTATCGAAACCACCCACGCCACTCTATCGGACAGCTGGTCACCGTGGACTCTACTCGTTCTTTTTTGTTCTTCTTGTGGCGCGATACTGAGCAGACTCGGCCGCCAACGCCGGCGGTCACCACGGGAGGGATGCCGGTGGAGTCGGCGTGGGAAACGAGGTGGATGAAAGCAAGCCAAGGATGCTGTGTGACTTGTCGAGCTCAAGTTGCCCACGCCTCGTTCTTGGAAGAGTTGAGCTTCAGCTGTCCAAGCTGGCGTTCAGAACGAGTGCTGCAGGCATGGCTTTGCTTTGCAGCATCGACGCCCTTGAAGCTTGAGGCTAACTAGTTCAGGTTGAAGAAGATGTGCGCTTTTGTTCTAAGATGCAGATGTGGACCAACGGTATAAAGAGAGGCATGGAGGGAAGCCTTGGTCGGATCCAAGTCTCTCCAACATGCTGACTCGCTACTGTATCACAGCTTGCAAACTCTGCTTCCTTCCAAATCGTCCATCTTGACGCATCATCTCCATCGACATTCTTCCAATCACTTGCCTTTCACCATGCCGATCTGGTTCCTGGTCGTGGCAGTCGCTGCCATCGCCTTCCCTTGCGTCATGTCGGCACCTACCAACGCCACCAACGTTGACGACAACCATCGCCTGTTCTCGGGCAAGATGCCGCACCCGTCCGTGTTCGGGCTGACTGGCTACGTGCCTCTGAGCTCGGTGGGTGAGCACGCCGATGCGGACATGCAGACGTACCCGGACATGGCCAACGCCGAGGGAACTGGATCGTTCGTCGACTACTCGTGGAAGCTGCATGGCATCCCCAGCTACCTGTACACGTCTCTCAAGCTGTCCAGTGCCGATCTGGAGCGCAACAACTACCGCATCGAGGAGAGCCGCGAGGTCAGGAGCGACTCGGACGCTGTGGGCGGCTGCGGACAGTACAAGGTGGTGCGAACGGGCGCTCGCGTGCTCGAGAAGCGGCTCGAATGTCGCGGGCCCGACACGCCGCCGGCTCCTGCCGATGCGCCGCGAGTCGCCTGTCACACGAACCACGCGTCGACGCTGGAAGACTGCGCACCGCTGTACTTTATGATGATCCAAGACAACAACTACTGCAATGAGTATGACCAGGACGGCCGCACGGGCGCCGTGTATCGCTCGTGCGGCCTGGTCTCCAAGCGTGGCCGCACTGGCAACACGTGCATCTCGTATGCTGCGATTGCTCTCGATGCCCTGCCGATCATCGACCAGTGCTGGCCGCGCGATGGTCCGTTCCCTTGCACGAGCTGGCACAGTGGTGTCATTGAGAGCACCAACGATCGGCCAAAGACGTGTGCGTGCAACAATGGCAGCGTTGGAAAGTGCTGAGAGACGCCGTGTCGATTTATCTGCGAAGGCGCACTTTTGGACGTCTGCAGCAGCAGCAGCAGCAGCAGCAGCAGCAACGTTCGACTCCTTTTTTCCGACTCCAAAAAAAGCTCGATAAAAATAGTCCAAAAAAAAAAGCCAATTTTTTGTTTGTCCCCTCACTCGTACGGTTTTTCGAATGCGGCCAAGCGCCGAAGAGAAAGGCATGTGTGGCTGCGAGCTGGTGTTGCTTGTTCTATGCTGTATGCTGCTCAGCCTGTCTTGCCATCGCCCACAGCAGAGTAGACGCAACAGAGCATCGCATTCAGAGAAGGTGACACCCACTGCTTTGCCTTGCCTTGCCTTGCCTTGCCTTGCCTTGCCTTGCTTTTGAGACGTTGTTGATTGAGAGCGCTGTGCATGCTTGGATGAGACGACGAGGGCGACGATGAGCGAGAATCGGCGCCTTCCGAATGCATCCTCCATCCATCCATCGCTCGGTTGCCAGTCGATTATTCGTAAAATAAAAATAAAAATAAAAAATATCTTCGAAGCGAGAAGTGCTGTTGTGGTGCCTTATAACTTTACGCAGAGCGTGCGACTTTTCTGAGTGAGCGCGAGAGTGTGGGCGAGTAGTGCAGTCAGTCGTCGGTCGGCCTTTCGCTGTGTCTGAGTTTCCGAGTTGGCTCGAGCAGCCGAAGCACAGCAGCCGAAGCACAGCAGCACAGCTAAGCAGCACAGCTGAGCAGCAGCCACACAGCTCGAGCAAACACGCGCGTCTTTCCATCTTTTGTCGACCAAAGCTTGTTTCGCTTCGCTTTGCATCGCCTTGTCTCTTCTCCTCCTCCTCCTCCCTTTGCTTCTGCATTGTTGGCCTCCTCGTCGTCGTCGTCGTCGTCTTCTTTCATCTTCCATCAGCTCGATCGCTTCTGTAACAGCTTCTTTGCTGGGCACACTGCGCCTTCGCCTTCACTCACGTGCCACCCCCCGCGCGCGCACACATTTCGCATCCAGTCAACGCGGTGCGCTGCCCCACCTGTCTGCGTCCATCTTCATATCCTTCGGATCGTCCCTTTGCACAACCCGACTGGCACAAAACCGCACACACGAGGCACGTTTACGATTCCATCTCAGAGCCCAACATTCGTCTCATCAATGCCGTCTCGCTCGCTCTTCCAGTCCTAGCAACCTCGCTCGCTTGACATCCGGCTCTCCACACCTTGGCCCGCTCCTTTCTTTCGCTGCGCATTCTGGTGCAGAAAGCCATCCAGCGTCCCCAGCATAGCAGCAGAGCGACATGCATCCTCGACAAGCTAGCGGGCCCGGCTCCACCGACGCCATGGAGATCTACGACCGCATGCAGACACCCAAGCACGAGCTCGACGCCTCCGACGTCTTGGCTGGCATTCCATCCGTCGTCGATCAGCATCAGACGCTCATAAGCGTGCCCGAAGACTCGCAGCTCGACACCCAGCAGCTTGCTACCACCACCACCACCACCACCCCATCCGCTCTCGACGCCGCCGCCTCGCAGCTTCCACCGCTTGCGGCTAAAAACGACAGTCAGCCAACGAGACGTCTAGACAAGCTCGCCACTTCCTCCTACGGCCTCGTTCAGCCAGGTGGGCGTCCCGATGCTTCGTCCCGCAGACTCTCAGACATCTCCAAACCGCTCCCAGGCCTACCAGCTGCTGGACCGACCAACGCAGAACAGACCTTCCTCCCAGCCACCAACAATGGCGCTGCCTCCTCCGCGCTGCCTCCTTCGTCCTCTTTGCTCATGGGCGGGCTGGTCGACCGTCGCGCGCCACCAGCCCTAGACACGCTGCCACCCCAACACATTCCACGCCCCGTTGCGGCCGGCTCCAGTGCATCCGCCGTTGCCTCCTCCGCTTCTGCTTCTCCGCTCCGAACACCGCCCAAGCAGACCACCTTCGACTCTCGCAGCCCTGGCGTCGAAACGCTCACCATGCCGGCCTCTGCCTCGGTCGGCCCTCTTTCCCCGCCAGACTCGGACCCGCACCGCACCATGATGGACAGCAACCGCAACAGCATCGACGACATCCGCCGCAACCACGCCGCCAGAGCAGCGAGGCGTCAATCGCACAACCCTTCCTCGGCCGACCCCCGTCCTAGCAACGGTCTCGTCGTTGATCCCACCTATACGCCCACCCGTGCCCATGCACACTTCCCAAGTGAAGCTGCAGCCGCCCCAACCTCTTCGCCCGATCCCACACAACGCCACCGCAGAGCCATGGCATCCGAGCCTCCGCGCCCCGCCAGCGTGCTCGAGACGCGCGCCGCACGCATGGAAGCCGTCCAGCGCCATCAGCACCACTCGCGCGTCGACGAAGGCAGCAGCGACACCTTTGACGCTGCCGACACGCTGGCCTCGTCTCGCGACACGCACGTCGATCGCGCCTCCCAGCAGCATCTTCAGCTTCGTGCCGCACGAGAGCAAGAGCTCGAACGCGAGCGACAACTCGAACAGCAGCAGCTGAGAGAGCAGCAGCGTCAGCGCGAGCGCGAGCGCGAGCGCGAAAGGCTCAAGGAAAAGGAGCGCGAGAAGGAGCGAGAACGTGAAAAGGAAAAGGAGCGCGGCGACCGTGACCGGGATCGCGAGCGGCGCAGTCGACGTCTGCTCGGCGACTATGCGCTCGGCAAGACGCTCGGCGCCGGAAGCATGGGCAAGGTCAAGCTCGGCGTCAAGATGGGCAACGGCGAAAAGGTGGCCATCAAGATCATCCCCCGCCACACCTCCATGGCTGCCGCCCAGTCGCCACGACCTGCCGTCGATGAGCACGGCAAGCCCCAGCCGCCCGCCCAGCCTCCTACCGCCTCGTTCCTGGCAAAGGCAGCCGCCAAGGACCAATCCAAGGAGATCCGCACCATCCGAGAGGGCTCGCTCCAGATCCTGCTGCACCACCCGTACGTGTGCGGCATGCGCGAGATGATGATCCACACCAACCACTACTACATGGTCTTCGAGTACGTCAACGGCGGTCAGATGCTCGACTACATCATCAGCCACGGCCGCCTCCGCGAACGAAGCGCCCGCAAATTTGCGCGCCAGATCGGCTCGGCGCTCGAGTACTGCCACCGCAACAGCATCGTCCATCGCGATCTCAAGATCGAGAACATCCTCATCTCCAAGACGGGCAACATCAAGATCATCGATTTCGGCCTCAGCAACCTCTTTTCGCCGCACTCGCATCTCTCCACCTTTTGCGGCTCGCTCTACTTTGCTGCACCCGAGCTGCTC